TCAAAACATACCAGTTAATTTCTGATTCAAGTCGAGGCTGTGCTACAAACTCTAAACTTTAGTATTTGTAATTCAGCCCTTATCCAAAGCTTCAATATTATTGAGTGTAATAAAATGCTAATACATGTGTGGGGTTAACATTATTTTCCAATTTGGCATTGTATAGATTTTGATAAAGGCTATAATTTATATTTGATGATGCCTTAAAGATTTTATATTTCTCATAGAATATTAGCAGTGAACTATTATTCTCTACAATTATAAAAAATGTGTATTATTATAATCACAAAACATATTTTTTCATAATTATTTTATTTTATTAAAAAGTAAACAACATTTACTGAAATTTTGCAGAAATCATAAATATATCACATCATACAGCTGAGGTAGTATACTGTTCAGGAAATTTAAATGAATGTTGTCCTTGTGCAAAAATACTAGGCAACAAGCCAGCATTGGGAATTAAGTTCCACGATAAAGTAAGAGTAACATTTTGGTGACCCCTTAAACAAAAGTACATTTTTATTGATGAAGTATAATATTAATTATTTTTAAATATAAATTAAATATGACTCACTTAAGTCCATTTCCATCATCCCAAAAATAATATTTAGTATTCATGTTTTTCATATCAAGAACAGCATTCTGTCCACGCTCAATAATTTTATCCCACAGTACAACCTGAACAAAAATTGTTATATAAAACTCAAAACTGTTTATTAAATATGGAAAATCACCATTTAATTTACCTGGTTCAGTTCATTATTTGGTGTAATATATTCAGCTGTTAAGTATAGAAACAATTGTTTAACATTCCAGTTAAATAAGTCAGTCAAATTTGTTTTTAAATCAAATGTAAGGAAACCCAAGTCATTTTTCTCTCTAGATGCACTATAGTCGGGCACGTTTTTTCTAAAATATATTATTGTACTATTAGTAATTACATTTCAGCGTAATTGTAAATTGCATTACAATTATCCTTACACGACAACTTTTACAGTATTCATATGTGCGGGTGTACGGTAATCAATAAAAACTGTAGAAGCAAAGCAACAAAACGTAAGAAACGCTAATACACTTAATGTATATGCTAAAATAGCATTTGCTCTTGTAAGCACAGTGTGCATATTTTATTGAATTCACTACGTCTAAAACAATTTTTTAAACTGTGTCGCTTTTGGAAAAGGACACGTCAAAGTAACAGTTCGGTTCGGTGAGGTTATACAAATTAGTATTAACTGTCACAGCCAAAGCATAAATCATCTAAATAAAATTTACTGTAGAGTGTTCACTCCGTCAATGTGTCATTTTAAATATGGTGCGTACATTTGTATTAGATGGCGCACAGAGAAATTTGAATAAATTTAATACACTACAATAATAAATGTAATACACTACACAATGTAATGCTGCGTCCCCACTGCACGAATCCGTGCGGCGAATCCTGTTCGCGACGCACGCATGCGTTGGCTCTTGTGCGCGACGCACACTGCGAGCAATTTGATACATTTGAAATTTTTAGGATTCCATAATATTTTTTTTCTTGATACAGTTCAATTATAAGAAGTGTAAAGAAGTATAACATCTTCTCTACGCATATTCATTTTCAAAATTGAGGATTCGATGAAATATCTTAATGCCTTCACTGTACAATTGAACTTATACCGTAGCACAGATCAACGTTTACGTACAAGTTCAAAGAAATAACGTATACGAATACAGAGGCAGGCTGACCAACAATTATCAGTTTTGAATAAAAATTATTACTTCTGTTCTAAATATAAATACTTGTCAGAAAAGACTTTGAGCAAAAATTCAGTCTGCATATTAATAAGATTTTAAATGATATTTAGCGTAATTGCAAATAATACAATATTACCATTTTTTTTTGAAACATTTAATTTATTTTGAATAATAATATATGATACGTCATATAAGTAGTAAGAGTATATATATATATATATATATATATATATATATATACATGATAATATCATGATGATATAAATTAACTCTGAAATATGATAAATAAAGTCTACCAAAATATATTTTAGTTGGATATACATATATTTCAACATATCTATAACTTAATTACCGATGTATTTCCTATACTAATAGTTAGATAAAATTATAATTAGTACATCAATTTTAATGACTGCTTACTTATTTACATTTTTGATCCGCGCTTTGACGCTAATCCATTAGTGTCGGTTCGGGTATTCTCGGCAGCCCGATGCGTCGGGTTGCTCGCGGCGGGAGCGAGCGCCGCGAACGCAAGCTATTGAAATTTTCGTGTCGCTTCGACCATGTTCGGCAGGGTACGTAATTCTAAAAATAACCCCCCCTCCCATTTTCAACAAAAAAAGAAGAAAAAAGTGCGCTATGGACATGCGCAGTGGACAAATTTAAAGGGAATTCGTGCGTTCGCACAGTATCACTCCGCTGCGCAAATTTGTTCGTGACGCACCATTCGCCGCACGGATTCGTAACAGTGGAGACGCGGCATAATATAAACATTTGTTTGCCATATCAAAGTGTGCGATTATATTGATATAAACAAAAAATCATCAATCCATAATCATATAAAAAAATCAATCATTACGATATTAAAACATATTTTTTTTATTATTTTATTATTTAATTATTGTAAATACACTTATAACTTGTAATTAATAAAAAATAAATATATACAGTTATAATTAAAGTATTTTACAATTGGTCCTTCAAAATTCAATCAATCAAACTATTTCTTATCTATGGATGCCATCAGATGCCATAATGTATGTTTACAATAATAGATAAAAGAAGAGTAGTGTTTACAATGACGCCATGTTTGATTTACGTCTCTGTCATATTCGATCAAAACGAAAATAAGCGCGACCGGCGGCAGGGGCTCTAAAATCAAAAATCGCGAAACAGACATTTGTTCGGAGCATAGATAAAAGAAAAAGTTCGGAGATTACCGGCCATGGTCTAGGACTATATTGGGTACATGGAATACATGTACACATAGCCAAAAGAAGAGTATGTACATATCGGGATATCGGGCTTAATGATAAATTAGTATTGCATGATATGTCAGTCTTTCCCCTTGCTTTCGAATTTATTTTCAGCGACGAATCCGATGAATCAAATAAGGCTAAGAGGCAAAGTATGTGAACTTTGCATTGCGCTAAACAGAAGCACTTGAAAATTGTTTATCTGTATTATATCTACTTCAATATTTTTGCATTAGATTTTGACATTGCACTTTGTATTGGGAATTGTTAATGTTGTGTAGTTGTTTCTTGAATTAAAAAAGGTGATTAAAATATAACTGTGTTCTGACATTTGAAATAAAATTATGATAGTTAAAAATAAAATGTTCGGAAATAATATTACTTATTTTTATGGCTTCGAATATGCAACATATTTTCTCATATCTCATAACATTGTTGAATTATTTGTGTCACTTGACAGTTTCCTTCATAAGTTAATTGGACATTGAATTATGTTCTTGATTTAATCAATTTACTTTTCATTGTAGATCAAAAATGAGTGACAATGAAAGATCTGGAGAACGAGTTTATGGAGGGTGTGAGGGTCCTGATGCTATGTATGTAAAATTAATAAGTTCTGATGGGCATGAATTCATTGTTAAGCGTGAACACGCTTTAACATCAGGAACGATCAAAGCTATGTTATCAGGCCCTGGACAATTTGCTGAAAATGAAGCAAATGAAGTCAATTTTCGTGAGATACCGTATGTAGTTGAATTTCTAATTTTAGCTTCATACACATTAATAAAATAAACTTTATTACATGCCAGTATTTGTTATTTACTTCAAATCTCTAATTCAAGTAACTTATGTTTAATATCGTATTTTATTTAATAACATTATCAATATTTTTGTGTAGCTTATATGAATGGTAAATTTGAGAACACTGAATATAATGGTATAGTGGTTAATTTAGTCAATAATTAATTGATTCAAGAATTGTTAGCAATAACTCAAGATGTTTATGACCAATGACATAATTTTTATTTATGTTCAAATCTGAAACATTGCCACTCACCTTGCTTTATTTTTCAGATCCCATGTTCTACAGAAAGTGTGTATGTATTTTACATATAAAGTGAGATACACAAACAGTTCAACAGAAATTCCAGAATTTCCCATTGCTCCAGAAATAGCTCTAGAACTTTTGATGGCAGCAAACTTTTTAGATTGTTAAATTAATTAAATATATTTGCATGATATATTTTCTTCAGGTCTGCCTATTTGATAAGATATTTGCTATGTATATATGAGTAACTTGTTCTTTTAATAAACTTAGTTAATAATATCTACTGATCAGTTTGATATCTTATTTCTGCATGGTATCACAATCAACATTCATATAATGTATTTATTAAAAATCAAAACCATATTGAAGTTATCAAAAAAATCATATGGAAGTTATCAAAAAAATCATCTATACTTTCTTTAATACTTATTGATACCTAAAGAGTTCACTTTAATCTCAGTATATATATATATATATATATATATATATATATATATATATATATATATATCAATATCCTAAACTCTAAGAATTATCACAATTAAATGAAATATATTCAACCAAGCTATTAAGTTAAATAACAAGTTTTGTTTTGTCTAGTTTTTGACAGAAAATATGTTATTGTTCAAAAAACAGGTTCAAGAAACAAGATTTAATGGAATTAACTTGATTTGATAGATTTGCTTTCACCGATTTCAATAACTTCTTCACATTTTTAAGTAATGCATATCCTTTAATACTATTGGAAAATACATGATAGAAAAAAAACATTAGCAAGATAATGAAATGTTATACCATTTGAAGTATATTTAAATAACTTACAGAACTTTAAAATTAAATTTACAATAAATATCAATACTTTATTTTTTATATAAATATTGGAAAACATCACACATTATGTATCCTACACAAACAAGTTTTATTTCATCAAGTGTAATTGTAATACAATACACTCACTTTTCTTGTAATTTACCCATAAAGTGAGGCAGCTTTAAATTTATTTTTTGTGTTTGAGAATAGACAGGCTGGTGTTGCTGGATAAAAGCGCAAGAAGCAGGTTTCGGCAAAATAATTCCTTGCATAACTGTTTCTTGTTTATTTGAAGTACTAGTTGTATTAGACATGGAATTGATGTGAGAATTCTTTGTGCTTTCGGCTGTCTCTACAATTTTTAATTCACTACCTCTGTCTTTAGAATCTGATTTACACAAGTCATTGTTTTCAGATTGATCGTCAATTTGGGTAATATAACTACTCTCTCCTCTCTGACTAGTATTCATTAATGTAGAATTATCTCTATTTTGTATTGTTGTTATAGTGGCTACTGGAATGCTACTAGATTTAATTTTATCATCATCCAATTTCATTATTTGAGCATTGTCATAGTTGCCCTCAGTTGTATGTAAAGTTTTTGCAAGATGTTGATTTTCTGGAGATTTCACTTGAAAGTTTGATTGTGAAAAGTTTGCAACATTTTCCATTTTGATTTGTTCTGAGTTTGATTTCATTGCCTGAGCTAAAATTCGAGCTTGAATTTGTGGAAATCTTACTCGAATTGCATCAACCACATCTAGCAAATTTTTAGCATCTATCGCTAATGCATGAGCTGCAGAAAGCATGCTCCTGTAGTTGATAAAAGAATAAATGTGCAAATTTATAGAAAGAGCTTATAAAATATTTTTGGTTTGTCAAACTTACTTTCGGTATTCTGCATCTAATGTAGTTTCACTGTATTGCTGGGCAAGTCTCAAAGCCGCTACTAGTTCACTCATATCTTTAGAAAGCACTTTATGCGCCAATTCCACTTCCCTAATTTAAAGAAAAAAATACAATTCTTTAATTTAAATAAGAGTTAATTTTAATCGACTCTGATAGGTTAACAAAAATTGCATTTGTTATCTTATTCAGTTATATATAAATTTATATATAAATATATATTAATTAAACGTTACTACACTTAATGTGTCAACATTTAGTAATATAAAAAACATTACATAATAACAACATTTGATAATAAATATAAAAAATATAAAATATATAACAATATATATAAAAAGGCATTTACTATTAATTATGTTGTTATTAATTTTATGTTTTTGTGTTTTTTCTGGTTTGGGTGTATAAAATTTACTCCACTTTTTATATTTTAATTTTTTATATTTATTATCAAATGTTATTATTATGTTATGTTTCTCATATTACTGAATGATGACACACATTAAATGTCGAAATGTTTAATTAATAAAGAATTGGTCTTATTAAGCTTCTTTTAATTCAACAATTGCAAAATACTTCAAATATGTATCAACGTCGACAAACAATCATATATATGTATATATATATATATATATACATATGACTAAACCTTATAACATTTTTATGAGATGAACATAATGTTCATCTATGATGAAACTCTATGATGAACATAAATGTTCTTACGTGAAATAGGAGTTAACTAGATGCTTGTGTACGCACTTACAACGTCAATTATTAAAATTACAATATGTAAAAAAAAATTAAATTGATAAATCGTATTGCTAAAGCTGCGGGAATAAGTATTTTATTAGGTTTAAAATTATTTTGAAGCTTCAGCTTAAGGAACAACGGTTCTAGAAAACGATTATTTTATTGAATAATGTTTGTAGTATAACTTGTTATTCATATGCCATAATAATTTGTTTTTTAAAAAAAAACATTCAAATCAGATCAAAGCGTAATTAGTTTATGTTGTTAAATTACCTGTGAGCATGAACAGGGAATAGATTGACTAGAGAATCAACAGCACATAGTAGTCCTCGCAATTCTAAACCTACCGTACGAACTAGATCCAGGTATTGATCTACTTTTGCACTTTGCACACCAGTGCTCAGAGCCATAATCGCCCGAACCACATTTGTGGTACACGTGTAAACTGAATCATTTGTTCTATCTAATTCTACCTTTGAGCCACTCTCTGAATTTTGAGAGTGAATCTGAAATAAAAAAATTAACTTATCTTAGGCATGCAACTGTAATTCAATTATCTTATTTCAAAATAAATTATATACCTTTATTTGGATCACACTTTTTAGAAACAATTTGCTTAACTTACTTACTTATTGTAATTTTATATATAATTAAAAATATTAAAATGAGTTGTGTTACTAATTAAAATTAAGGCATAAATTTAAATATATATATATATATATATATATATATATATATATATATATATGAATAAAATACTCACTTTCGAAACTTGTGTTTCTTCAGAGCCTAAATTATCACATCTCTCTTGAGAAATACTTTTGTTCCTAAACAAAACCGAACTTCCCATGGGGGTATGAGGTCTTGAATCACCATTTGGAGGACTAGAAAATCCATGATTAATATTGGCAGGCAATGAACTAGGTTGCTGAGAAGTACTCTGACTTAAGCAATTTTGATAAGGGCTTTGTTGGAAATTCATTTGCTGATATTGTTGATTATTATACATTGAATTAATCCCTGAAGGTTGCTGAATGAATTGAGATGGTATAATTGCCTGGTTTGCATAATTCGCCATAGACGCATCAAAAGACGAATAGTCTACTGGATCAGATCCAGTCGTTATAATACTTAGACGCTTTTTCTGAATATAAAAAGGAATAATGTTTAGTATAGAATCTTATGTGCAGAATATATAATTCACATAGATCATAACAAACATAGATAATTCATACAAAATTTTAAAGATATTTTACTACAAAAATTATTATTGTTCCACAAAAAAATTGATTCTATTCGATCCATTCTCTAAACCAAAATTCAAACCCAAATATACCTTGATTTTTAATTGTTGAACTCATTTAGATTATTTTGAGATAACGTGTGTGCAATTTATTCTGCATTTTTGAAACTATGACAAAAATATTGTTCAACTGTTCAATTACAAACAACGTTTCGTTTTCGATATATTTGATATATTAATTTTGTAATTTGAAAAAATATAATAATTGTAACTGAAACAAATATTAAATTTCCTTAAAAAATCGATCTCTAAATGGTTTCATTTTGTTACGAAAAAAAAAAAAATTACCAAATTTGTCTCCTCCTCCACAAGCCATTTTTGATCTTCTTCACTTTCACGTTGCTGTTGTCGCAGTTTTTCTTCTATAACAACTTTATCAGTTCCAACATCAGTACTCTACAAAGGAAAATATCTTATATTATTATGAGCAGTATTATTTATTAAGATATATTCCGAAATACATGCATATATAAACACAACAATTGGCATAAACTAAATTTTAATTTTTTATTAAAATCACTACTAATGAATCATTCTATATATTCATAAAATAATGTTACGTAACAAACAAAAACAATATATTATTTTCACGCTGACAACGTATGCAATTATACGAAATAGCTACGCAATAAGATGAAGAATTATTTTGTTTGATATTGAACGCTTCTATGTAAATATATATCGAACTTATAATTTTAAATTTCTGAACTAAAAACCTTTTGTGAAATATATATATATATATATATATATATATATATATAATATATACAGTTGGATGTGAGCTCGGTGGGCTTGAGATGAATTTCAAGATATGATATTGTGAAAAAAACAAGGCCACGCTGGCTGCCTAAAAAAAAAGAACGAGCCCACCCATCAAAAATTTGCTTCCGACGCCACTGTATACATATATATATATATATATATATATATATATATATATATATCTATATATATATGTGCGTGTGTGTATATATATACTATATATATATATATATATATATTATAATATATAAAGTGAGATAAATATATAAACAGGTACATACATACATATATATAAATACATACATACATATATAATAAATTAAAATAGTAAATTCTGTAAAAATAAATACTATTATACCATAGAACTATGAATAAAAATAAATGGTAAAAAAATCCTGTTGCAAAAATAAGAGAATGCAAAATAAATCAGGTTCAAAAAATAACATCAAAATACATGCCAAAGATGATGATGAAGCAAAATAAATAAATAACATATATAATCAAGAAAGAAACAAAAAGATCATAACGATATTGCTGTTGCACTATAATCATTGTATCAAACCTGTTCAGCGCTATTATACTGCGTTGTATGAAATGGTGCATTCATTGTATTTGTACTGAGACTATTATTTGTCATTTTTTTATTAATATTAGCACAAGATTTAACGTTGGCACCTCCAAAATCATATATATCTTCTTGCACATGACCAGTATGATGATGCTCTTTTATTTGTTGCGAATAAACTGTCGAATTTCCGTACATTTTAGCCATTCCTATTCCCATTTTTGGCTGTGACATAACTTTTGGTGAACCTGAATATATACTTTGCATTTCTCTTATTTTAGGGCTGATTCTAGGAGAGATGTGTTCCAGGAGTGGTTTGGACAAGGAATCATTAGAAAATACCCTGCTAAAACTAGGACTGTTTAAGGAAAATTGACGTTTTACTTTCTCACTTGATATACTCGGATAATGTAAAAGATTGTGTGAGTATTCATCAACACTGTTGTGCAGTTTTGTGCTGCGTTCTAGTGAATTGATTCTCATAGGATATCGTTCATTAGAAACAGGAGTATTTGTGGAAAAACCTTGAAGATGAGTATTGCGCTCAAGAGATCTGACTTTATTCATGTGGGATTCTGGATATTTAATAGATAAATCTTTAATTGGCAACTCCTCATTAGAAACATTTTGTTTCATAAGTTTCAGCTCATTTTTAGAGACATAATTACCGGAATTAAAATTTGAGATCATTTTCGACACAACACTTTCAGTTATGGGAAGGGAGGCAACTCAATTTGAGCAGGTTCTTCTAAAGGAATCTTGGCTGGTGGATCTAAGTCTAACAAGCTGTGGGCGGGAATAGGTAAAATTTTAACGGACGGTTCATCGTTATTGATAGTCTGTGTGGACGCAGATGTTGGAACGGAACCCGGAGTGGTTTCGGTAGGTTCAATGAAATCCACGGCTAATGTATTAAATACCGATGCAGGTGTGGTGTACGCGGACGGGTTAACTGAGCGAGATTCATTCTCGCGCATCAATTGAGCCAAGACGGCCGGACTCTGCGCTACGATGTAGGTTTGCGGTGCGCCGCCATTCGAAGTCAGGGACAAAGAGGAGCTCGAATCCGAATCTGAAAGTCAAACAAATTAAATATTAATTTATTTCACACAAAACACCACCAATTTTGACAAAAAGTAACTTTAAATTGCCGAAAAAATTGCCAAAATGTGTGATAAGAATAAAAACTGCAATATTCACATGTATTGTAATAAAATCGCATTCAAAAAATGCATAAAAGACATCCAAACTAGTAAGATGCATGGCATCGCGTCTTAAGGAAAATTGCAGGAACTTTCCGTACCGTAATTAAACATCTTGGTACGGAACCCCAAAAAATTTACACGAAATGTGTACACATTATTAAAATCTCTATAAAATATCTGATAATTTGATGTACATATGTCCAATAAACATTTTTGACCGCCAAATGACATTTTTTAACATATTTTTTTATTGAGAGTCCATAACCGCTGGACCTGCCTTCCCGAAAATTTAATCAGTTGTTCATCTTGTCAATACAAGTAAAATGTTTTTTGAATTATTAAAATCGAACGCTCCGTTCTCTTAAAAACTGAGTTACCGTTTTTGGCACTTTTTGCCCCGTATCTTCGGAACGGCTAGACCTGCCTTCGCCAAAAACTAATCAGCACGTCTCCTTATCAATACGAATCGAATGTTTTTTGAATTATTCAAATCGGTTGATCGGTGTTCCCGAAATCGTCGACGAAAATTTGTATCCGCACACACGCACACACACATACACACATACATCAATTTTTCCTAAGGTATGCCAAAATGTTCAAAAACATTTGAAACGTAAAGATATATCAAAATTTTCATATTCGAGTTTTTTGCGATTACTATAACTTACCCTACGGGAAGTTAAAAATAATTCAAAAAATATGGTTAATTATAGATTTCATATTTTCGTAAATTTTTACATTTTATTCTTTAGCTAAGCCTTATATTATATTGTTCAAAAATAATAGATTTTAAAAAAATACGCATTACACGTCAATTTAACGAGATATATACATATATAAAATGTCCATAAACCAAGTGTTAAATGAATATGAATCTTATTTCTAAATGTAATTTGAAACTTAAATAATGATAAATATTGATTCAAATAAAATCACAGTATTACTAAAATAATTTAATCTAAATAATCCCAGTCTGTGGAATAATCATAATCAATAATTATTTTTAACCAATCAATATATTTATCCAAAGATTAATATTATTATTCAAAGATATATAGTTATAATGTTTAATTATTATGCTTATTTTATTATGTTCTTAGTTCATCAAAAGCAAGCACTGTAACAATCTTACCTATTTCAAATAGCAAATAGGCTATTTGCTATTTAATTTTAATGCTTGATGCAAAAAAATATAGTAAGAAATAAATGAAATAGATAAGAGAATTTTTATACTTATGAGATTGGGTCTGGCTGGTTTCGGTGGAGCCACATCTTGTTCTCCAGATGCACCACTCCAAGACATAGCAGCCACACGACGATTTTCGCGACGCATTGTTTCGTTCGCGCTATGTTTTTCTTCCATCAAAATCTCACTACAGAATTTATAGTAATATATGAGTAATACATCAATTTAATGAAATATCATAGATATTTGTCCAAAATAGTTACAAAGATTTTATATTTCAGTTATGATGCAAACGGAATATTTGAAATAAAAGTTTTACTAGAAATACGAAATTTTTAATTATGACTTATTTTGAAATAATTCTATTTATTTTAATTAAAAAGAAAGCTTAGGTACTAACTTCAAGACTTCTTTAATATGTTTAAATGTAGGTCGTTTAGAAGGCTCATAGCTCCAGCATTGACTCATAAGGCTATAAAGTCTAGGGGGGCACAATTGTGGCAGTGCTAAACGTTCTCCATTATCTAGCTTTCCTATAACATCATTATTGCGAACTCCTTGAAATGGTTTCACTCCAAGCATTAAAATCTCCCACATACATACACCTACAAAACAAATGTTTAAAACATCAATACGATACCATTATAAAAAAAATAACTATAATATATAGAATAAGCAAAAATTACCAAACATCCAAACATCACTGGCAGTAGTAAATCTCCTAAAATTTATTGATTCTGGCGCCATCCACTTGATAGGCAATTTTCCTCTTGAAGCTTCATAATAACTTAGAACTTCACGTGATAATCCAAAATCTGCTAACTATAAATAAAATAGTATTTAAAACTTATATCAATCAAACTATTTATTGTAAAAGGACATGACATAATATTTATACAAATTATTTTAATCAGTTTTTAATATCTATAATTCTAGATACAAATAATAAGTATTATATTTGACCATTTACCTTAACACAAGTATGAGCGCTAACTAGAACATTTCGTGCAGCAATATCTCTGTGAACGAATTTTTTACTTTCCAAATAACTTAATGCTGTTGATAACTGATATGTGTATAAAAGAAGAGTGCCTAATTCCATTCTGTAAAATAATGATAAAAGTATTCATATTATTATTTAAAATATATATAGATGAAATGATTAGTTACTTATGCTTATTCTGTTGCAAATATGCCCTTAGTTCACCAAATTTAGCTAACTCCATAACGATCCAAATTGGAGGTTCGTCACACACTCCGATTAATTTTATGATATGCGGATGCTCGAACTTCTGCATTATATCTAATAAAAAATCAGTTGAATTATAAAATAACTATTCGAATCGGGTCTTTCGGTTATTAAAAAACATACACGCTTCTTCTAGGAACTTTTCAGCTTTCTCTGGATCGTTATCAGTTTTGCAAGTCTTCACAGCAACTTCTTGAGGGCATAAAGGCAATCCTGCGATCATTTTTGGTGTACACACACCTTTATGAACATCGCCGAATTGACCCTCGCCAATTATTTCTAATAATGTTATTTGTGATCTTTCTAGTTTATAATCTTGTGCTAAAAATAAATTGTTCAAATGATTTAACTAAATATTATTTATATAATAACAATAGTAATGTTAATAATCGTCAATCTATAGTCTGATCGTAATAGGGAACAGTCCATGTACTATAAGTTAAATATAATTATAGAAACAAGACTAATAAAAGTAATTAGCAGACTAAATTTCTTATTAATGTTTATTATCATTTATGTAATATTAACGATATTACTCGTTTGTTAAATAGATAAATATATCAAATTATATACTTTGGAAAAAGTATATACACGTTTATACATTCACCTGATAATGGATTAGCTAATTTTGATTTTTTTTCATGAATCATTTGCAAACCTCTTTTATCAATATTGTCTCAGATTTTGACGAAAATCAATAATAATTCACATTGATTCAGTTTTAGTTATAATCGGTCAAGCCTTAATATAATAAATAAAAATTGTTTCGTAGCAAGTCCTGAACCAATATCACTCATTCAAAAACCTTTCAAAACATATAGGCTTAGTATCGGTCAAGTCTACAACTCAAAAGTTAATAAAACTAAACTATGATCCGAGGTCGCCTTGATTTTGTTTAGAGGTAAAGACATTCCAAAGAAAAACGCACTGAGAAACGGATAATAAATTTCAGTATTAAATTTTCAGGTAAGTAATCCTAGTTTTTTATATAATTATATTTATGTTTAAAAAAAATTAATAAAACGAAAAAAATACTTGATGGTGTAGAATAATCCCCTTCTTCATCTGGCACATCAGCATAATCTTCTGCTAACATGGGTTTGATATTATTTGTACCAGAATGAGCTGCTGCTGTGTCAGGCTGTTGCTGTTCCGCAATTTGCTGTACTTCCTCTGAAATATAAAGTAAAAATAAACATTTAGACTAATAATAATAATCGCAATTATATTTAAAAAAACATTTACCGGATTTTGTCCAAAGTGATATTTGATTTCCATTAACAAGTTGACAATAACCATCTATTAAATCCGCAATACTCTCTGCCGTCTGGTAAAAAAAGAAAAGAAAATATTGAGAAATATTAAACTATAATTACAAAATAAAAACGAATGAAATAAATTATCAGAAAAGGTGCAAGCCATGACATTAATTATATCGAAAATATTGATAAAATATAACATCAATAATATACAATAAGAATTTTTTATATTTTACCTCAAGTGTGTGACAAGATATTGTTAAAGGTTCTTCAGTGCCTTTCACTGTCAGTCTAATAGCAGCTTTTCCTTTGCTATCAGATTTAGTGCAATCCGGACCTATGGTTCGAATACTTTTTACCAGGGCAAAATCGGCTATTTTATTTGGTAATGCTCCACGATGTGTTATATATGAAATTTCTTAAATAAAAAATAATAAAAGACTCAATAAATTAAATATATTGATGATTTAATAATAATATAACTTACCAATATTAGGACCTATCACTAATTCTACTGGTATAGTCCAACCAGATCCTAATGCTACAATAAAATGTTCTTGATCAAATTCAAAATTTCCTCTTAAAATATCAAAGTACCTAAAATAAAAAAAAATGTTGTTGATCATATAATTGTTAGTACAGAAAAATAAAAATTTCACTACGCAACTTACTTGAGCATTGCTTCTGTTTCAGTCAAGGAAGCTACTTTTTTGTAATGCGACTGAATCATTTTGCGTAGGGTTTTTGGTTTGAAACTTTCTAATACACCTTTTGGAAAAAACTTGTGCAAACCAACCTCTCTTTCCAAATAATCTAAACTCGATTTTTTATCCAACGTAATCTAAGTAAGATAATTTAAGATTAAAAAAAAAAAAAAAAAAAAAAATATTAGGTTGTTTTACCTGTGGATTATTATAAACATGTCGAATTTCCAAACAACATAACTGTACGGCAACTTCCTGATCCAAATTTGGGTGAGTGTTTTGCAAGTAATCATTTCTAACCTGCAAATACACAATTATAAATTTATATATTATTAACTAAAATTTATAACTTTCGGTTATTATTAACTTAAACTTTCAAAACACATTGAAAAAAGAACATATTTGGCTTAACTTTAGCATGGGGGTGTCCATTAATTACGTGAGCCCTGAAGGAAAGGGGGTTGTCACAAAAAATAGCAAGATATCACGCGAGGGAGGAGCGGGTCTACAAGATATCACGTGTGTTTATTTTTTACCTCAATTAGAAAAAAGATCAAATTAGAAAAAAAATACGATTTTTTCTAGATACTAAAAATACGTAATGTTTGATAAGGGATGGGGGGTAATTAAAACATCACCAGGTATCACCAAGGGGAGAAGGAAAAAAATTTCTTAAAAATCACTCAGGTGATTAATGGACGTACCCCAAAGACAACTGCATAGCACATAACTTATTCGTTCGCACCATTAATAAATGAATGATACAATTACCTGATCGTAATAGTAGTGAAATGTCGCAGTATCCCGTTCAAGCATGGTTTTTAGACTAGCGGGTAGATATCGAATTCTTAATTCACATCTCCATGAACCTGGACCGGAACAACGCTCTAATACTTTAGTCATGGAATCATCATGAGACAGCCATACGACCTGAAAAACAATTATATTATTACATTATATTACATTAATTAATGTTATACATTAGAGCTTCTTTATTTATGCATTTTGAAAAATATATTTGAAATTTACCTCTCCGTCTGCTAAATTTCGAAGCCTGAGCGCGTAACATCCAGCAAACGCTCTGGTTCCTGGACGCATACCAGTCACTATCCTGGATATGATATCACGAGCATCGGTCATTTCATCAAAGCACACCATATTAAATTTGTCGTTTGGACAGTGTACTTTAATCGTAGTTCTTTTATCACTTCTCGCCCCTAAATTCGAAAGATAACATTGTTAGGAAATTATATAAAAAATATGAGACATTGATGACTGTTGTATAATTAAATAATACATAAGTAATATTTAAACATTTTTCTTAGACGAGTTTTTTCATGAAAACAATGTAAAGTAAATTGAGCGGTTACTGTCGTTAATAATTATTGAAATCCGCAATAATCCATGGGTCGAACTTACATTATATGTTTGATATACAGTGGTACCCCGACTTACGAGTTTACCTGACATACGAGTGTTTCTAGATGCGAGCCGCCAAAAGAGCGATTCGTTGCTTCGATATGCGAACAAAATTCGAAATATGAGCTTTGGGCGATTAATAGTTTTCTAGAAGAATGTTAATGGCAAAAGAAAAATATGAAAAATTTCGTCCTATCTTAGAAATATTTGAAATATTTGCTATTTTGTGATATTAAATTATTTTATAGTTAATTATTTCAATTATAAATTAATATTAATTGTGTAATAACGATTTACCCACGCGAATGTATAGAGGATTATTTTAACATTTGAAATTTTGACTATGCATAAAAGTGATAGTACAGTTATATATGTTGAGCTCACGTTTTTTGCTTTTTGTACATTTACAAAATTACAAATACAAATTGGATGTAATACAAATTACATCCAATGTAATTTATATGGGAAGAATTGCTTCAAGATACGAGAGATTCGACATACGAGCGTGGTTATGGAACGAATTATACTAGTATATTGAGGTATTCGTATATATATACATACACATATGTTAAAGGTGTTTAAATTTGATGTTGACATGTATGATTAATGTCTTGGAAGGCGTAACATCAAGTAAAAAATGAATAAAGTAAAGATTTTTAAAACATCTTTATTTTTCCATACGTTTCGGCGTAAAATTCTACGTCATCATCTGTGGTTTTACAATTTTGGAAAAACAGAAAAAGTAACGTTAAAAACTAAATATAAACAGAGCAAGAAAAAAAAGAACAAGATTTAACTAAAAAGACAGACTAATTATATCTAAATCTTAAATTAAAAAATTACAGAAAGCATTACATACTTGAAATTCTTAGATTATCATTTATACATATTAACAACACAACTTGTGAATAATTAATAATTGGAAACAAGCACTAAATGTCAGTGATTACGTTTTTTATAAAAAAATAATAAATAATAAAATATTATCTGAAGTAAACGCTCATCCAAGGCAAGATTGATTTCTGCAAAAATTGTAAAATGCAAAACAGAAATTTTTGAAAAACATGTGTTTGTAATAAAAAACCGTTCAGCGATATATGCAAGTGTGTGATAGTGTTGAGTAGGTTTGTTGGTTTTCAAAAACCGGTTTTAAAAACCGGTTTTTTGACGAAAATTATGAAATTCGAAAACCGGTTTTTTAGTAGAAAAAGTCGGTTTTTACTGTATAAGTGGAAAATGACAAATATAGCCAAATATAAAAGAGAGATGCAAGCGTTTTGATTCTTGGAATCATATTGGTTCAATAGCATTTGGAATCTTATCAGTCTGCTATGGTTCCAAGAAAGGTTTTGTGTTATCTTTTGTCTAATATTATATATTAATTTAGATTTTTATACCAGTGTATAAGAATTTAAATCAGTGTGACTTCTTCTTGAAGAAGTAGCTCCCTCTACTCAATCTTTAAAAAAATGAGTTTTTATCCCTAGAAGCCACAAATAAAAGAATAAAAAATTTAGAATTAGTATATCAGGCTTTAAAAACAATTAAGTTCGGTCGCAAGTAAGAGAGTATTTTCTATTTTGAGAAATATTATGAGTAAACAAAGGACACGTCTAAGTAACGAATTGATAGACATTCTCAATTTTTTGAAATCATGTTTTATTAAACAAAAACAATTAAAATTTTTAAAATTAATTAATTAAAATTGCTAGGAATAGAAAATACTCGGGGTTTAGCTTAATTGTTTTCACAACTAAAATTGATAGTTACAAGTATGTATCAACATGTAAATGAATGTTTTTGTTTAATGTTTAATGCCTAATTTAATGAATGTTTTTGATTTAAAAATGTATTATTTTTATTTATTCGAATACTGTTCTTTGACTGAGATAAAAATATTTTCATTCTAATATGTGAAAATGATGCATGAATAACGAATAATTATTTTCAAAAGTATTTAATTCAGATAAACTATTAATTTTTTGCTCTACTAGTTAAACTTGAAATAATTTTGTCTACTATCCATAAAATTAAATCGCACTAAATTTGCGGATAAAAGATTTTCTATATAAAATTCGAAAACCTGGTAAAACTAAAATTCGAAAACCGGTTTTCTGAAATGTCGGTTTTTGTATAAACCCTAGTGTTGAGCATAGGTGTTAGGTATTCGATACAAATTGGGAAACATTATTTAAAACATATTGGTAATTTTCGCAGAGAAAGCTGTATCAGTTCGTTTATTAATACTATGATTGTCCAAAAAATAAAAGCCGATTTCGCAAAGCGGCTTTGTGAGACTTTCGACTCATCATGAAGAATCTTTGCGTCATAAAAATTGAACGTATGGTTGTTTAGTTTTAAATGTTCTGTGATCATCGTTTGTCCTTGATTTTTGTCCACAAAAAGTGAGCCTATTGTTTGTGACGGATTTTATAGGATGTGGGGAATAGGAGTTGTGCGTGAGGGGTATACACATATATATATATATATATATATATATATATATATATATATATATATATTTATATATGCGTGTGTGTGTGTTTGTGTATGTAATTAAATAATATCGTAGCACAAGAATCAGCACTTACCGTTGCGAGCGGGCGAGCCGTGGGGCGTTGATTTGGCTGAATCGGATGCCATGGTTTTATTACAGCGCGATTTTTCTGCAGAAATTGCTTCCGCATGAACTATCGTTTTGCTGATAGTTCGTTTGTCGTGGGCGCGATCTTTTGCGGGCGAGATCAGACCTGCCCTTCCGAAACAGGCGGACCCCTTGCCATCATTGACATAACTGAAATTAAAAATAATCGAACTACATTAATTAATCATAATTAGAAAAATCTAACATAACTATAAGTTGATCAGTATTAACCAAATAAACTCATAATTGATCCAGCAAATGAATAAGTTTATAATTAATTTACTGCAGTTTACTTTTTTTTCAAATTAATTATAAAAATGTTTTCAATATTATCAATAACATTTTACAAAGTTTTGTATCAATAGCTCTTGTTACTGGAGAAGTTTAGAGCAAATAAAATAACAACATGTAAATATAAAATAAACTAGTTGGTATTGATATTTTGCCTTGAGGCAAGTTACATGAACTTAATCACATATCGGGGTGTGAATAATCGACTTAATCAATATAAAATAAACTAATTTATGAGTTATTAAAAGTATTCCTAGTAAATTTATTACACATAATTAAAAACGAATGAACACGTTAACTCGGAGTATTTTCTAAAAGCAAATTTTCACAAATAAATAATTTTTATAAATGAATTTTAATTGTATATTCATTAAAACCAAGTACTCTATCGTTATACCAAGTAAATCGTCTAATTTTAATTTTAACAAAAACAATTTATTTTCTCGAACTTTGATGAATTTTTAAAATTAAACTACTTATGGTAAGACTGTAATATTTTAGTGAGTTCTATAAGACCATGATATAAGGTAAAAGACCCAGTTATTGACCCTGGCCCAGTTTCTGACCTTTTCAACTTTTTTTGGAATTAATTAAAAAACTATACATTTAATGTGAAAATAATTTTTTTCTTAATTGACAGTAATTTATTCTATGCCTCATTAATGTCAATTAAAAAAATATAAAAAATATTAACTTAATTAAAAAAATTTTTTAAACCAAAAGTGACTGTGGAAGCCATTTTTTAGCTTTAGTCTAAACAGTTTATGTAAGGAGCTACGACAATTGAGTTCGTGCACTAATTATGATGTAAGTACGAAAATCTAACTAAAAATATACAAATAAGTCAATAATTAATTAAAATTTATTTTAAAATATTTATAAAACATATTAAATTTAGTTTTATTACTGAAATTTGAGGGTCAATAACTAGGCTCAATTTTAAGTGTATGTCACAGTTGTTGACCCTGCAATTCTAACCTTCTAAAAGCTGTCACATGTTTTTAGTCACTTGTTCATTAAATGTAAAAATAATAATATTTATTGTTATCTTATATTTTTTTTACTATTTCTCGTAGTAAAGTGATAAATTTACATTTAATATTCATTGATATAAATGAAAGATTGTATTTAAATCTTGTAAATACATCTTTTAAGTGATAAAAATTATTAATAAAAAAATGTCAGTTTTATCAACGCTTAAATTATGACTGTTTTAGTTTACTAATATTTTTATTATATACAATTAATTTTATTCTTTTTTATTTAGGAGTGCTCTGAAATACAAGTAATTTAATTAATTTTATAAAAATATTTTTTGAAAAATTTTATAACAAAATATGTATCCATTATTTTTACAGCTAATCAACGTTTTTTTTAACTAACGAAATTTTTTGTTAAATGACTTTTATAATTATTATTTATAATAGTATAGAATATTTTACTGAGGACTTCTATAATTAATTCAATTTTTGTAACATAATTTTGCATTTTTTTTATTTAGATGGAAGAAAAAGAGTTAGAGGGTGAAGAGACAGAAGAAAATAACCATAAATTTATTTTAGACGCACAGCCATCTAAAGAAGTTATAATTTTTGCAGTAGATGATGATGGAAATTTAGTCTCTGTCGATGATAATAGAATGGATACTGATTATAACAGTCAGGATAAAGAACAAGCAAACTCGCAAGTTCAGATTTTTCTGAGAATGAACTTGAAAAACAAGAAATTCTAAAAGTCCCCAGTTCATCTGACAATCCTGACCCCTCCAATAAAACATCATCACCTAGTGCAAAAACAACATCTCCGAATGTTCCTTCTCCTTTTAAGCGAGCTTTGTTTTGGCCTTTGAAAGATAAAGATTTGAAGAAACGAAAAGCTAAGGAAAAGGTACCGACAGTTTTATACATCTGATTCGTGGTTAAAATATCATGACGACAAAGAAGCAAAGAAACGAAAATTAGAAAAGAGAAAAGAATTGAAAAAAGCTGAAAGGTCCAAAAATAAAGCCATCAAGGAGGCAGAAAAAATAATTAAAAAAGAAAAACTTGAAGAAAAAAAGAAACAAAAAGCTCTTAAAATAAAAAAAAGGCCCAGTAATTTAAATAATTAATTTTAATTTTTTTGTTTGTGTAATATGTTATAACAAGACTTGAACTATTTATACGTTAAATTTTAAACTGTATATTTTTAGAATAAATATTTAATTTATTTATTTCAATAATAATTTCAGTTTATTTAAAATTAGTAAGCACTTCATAACCTAATCATGATTAAATTTGAGGGTCAGAAACTGGGCTACGGTCAGGGTCAGAAACTGCCACACGAAGATTTCTGAGGGTCAGAAACTGGAGCTCTTAATGTCAATTTTTAAAACGTCAATTTAAAATATAAATTTAGTTCAAATAATTTTTTTATGCACATTACTTTATTTTAAAAATCCTAAACTAATAGATAAAATTATAATTTTCTTCATTAAGTTAAGTTTTATATTAATTATTATAGTTTAACCTCCACCGTCACTCTAAAAAGGTCAGAAACTGGGCCCCTTACCTTATATCGCCAAAAAAGTTTCATAAAAATCGTCTTAAATTTTTTTTTCAACAGTTAATTACAAGAAAAGGACTCGGTAGATTTTCACCTAAAACTAATCAGTATCATTCCCAACTATTATCTATCGAACAGTTTTTGATGATTTAAAATCGATTCGGTAGTATGAGCTTAAATGCATCAATGCTCAAATTACAAAGAAACGGCTTGGCCGATCGTCGTACAAAACTGACAAACGATAGTCCGCATTGAGATACATCAAATGGCTTTTAAATTTCTGAAATCGGATCAGGCGTTTTTGAGAAAACGTCGATGAAACGTCTAATTTTGACAAATGACAAAAAAACAATACTAATTTATGCAAACTTTGACGAACTTTTAAAGCTAAACGAGTTGTCGTAGAGTCGTAATATTTTAGTATGATCTAGATGACTATGGTACCTACTGTTAAAAAAAATAATAAGAAAAATCGCCGAAAAAAAAATTTAACACTTTATTACAAGAAAACGGCCCGGCCGGTCTCTACCAAAAACTAATCTGCACGATTCCAAACCAATATCTTTCGAACGGTATTTGAATTTTCAGAATCGATTCAGAATTACGGGCTAAAACGTGGACGAAAAATTTTCACTTTTCTGCTAATTATAAAGAAATGGCTTGACCGATCGTCGCACAAAACTGACAAACAATATTCCTCATCGAGATACGTCGAATGGCTTTTAAATTTTTGAAATAGGTCCAGCCGTTTTTGGGAAAACGTCGATTTACGGCAAAAAATCTGTTCATACACACGCACACACACACGCGCACACACACACACACACTCACACACATACTTTTTCCGAGCGGTATTGAGTCCGACATACCCAGACAAAAGACCAGTCTCGGATGCATAAAGGCATTTCAAAATTGGTCTCATTCGATTCAGAATGGCTTGAAACGTCGAGAAAACAAAGTTAGCGAATCGGATTTTTTGATGGAAACATAAACTTCTCCTTCGGGAAGTTAATATAACTAATATAAATAATACAATAAATCCTGAATATTGACCAAATTAATGCAAAACTCTTTTTAATAAATGTGAATCATTTTAGCTCTTATTTCAAACTATAAAATTAAATAAATAATTCAAATATGATAACAGGAAAGATTAAGAAACACAAGCTACGGAACGTTTAATTATTAATAATATTCGCGAGCATCGGAAAGAGTATAGTCGTCGATTGCACGAACAGGATGTACGATACTCGTATACGGTATAGAATATAAGCAGAAGAAATGATTGATAAAACGATATTGCCCTCTTCTATGTGCCTTCAAATGATATTGAATAAATAAGTGAATTTAACAACTAAAAATTATATTGTTTCAAAATACATCGACAACATCAGCGATAACAGGTACCATATAATAATACATGAGTTTGTATATATTAAATGTTTTCATTACTTTATATATGGGAGACTAGGTACCCTTGTGCTGGGGTACTGCCGTCGTCATAACAGCTAGACTATTCCGATTTTGAGATAGGGTCCAAAGAGAGAAAAGAATAAATCTTTAGTTCTATATTATAGAAGTCTAGTAAAATTTAAATAAAATTTAAATTCTGAAAAATATTATAATAGCGAACAATTTAATGCTAATCAAATGCTAAGATTCCATTCAAATTCTGGACTTTATGATACTTAATATCAATTCTTCTGAGCAAATTAAAAAATAGATTTTTTTTTAATTACATGATGAATGAATAGACGTGCATTAAAACTCAAAATTACAGTTATAAAATAATTGATTTTAAATAATATTTTTTCACAAACGACAGATTTTATAAGAATAGAAAATTATATGCGATGTTAATATCTTTCAAAATTCAAATGCAGAAACAAATATTTGCATACATATAGTTTTAACTCATTCTGAATATCTAGAAAAATCAAGTATATATATATATATATATATATATATATATAATATTATCAACTTATCCTTTCTCAATTTCGAACAAAAATGTTGATAATTATAAATTGAAGTATGATCGTTCGAACAAGTTTCCATTATCGCTTTTAGTCAGAGCCTACATTAACCTGATCTGTAGACTGCATTTTTGAAAAGTCAAAAGTAAGTTTTTTT